ATGAATATATTACATACTTGGGCCCCATTGTTAAGTTGTCCATATACGGTCAATTTCTGTTTAGTGACAAATTTTCGACTAAATGTAGCATTGGCATCCTGCATTTTTGCCAAACCATCAAAACTGTGGCAACGTGCCAATCGACCACAAGGACAAACTTTTGTTTGATCATCAGTTTCTCTGTTATTAGTCGAGTAAGCGTGACATGTGACACTAAGCAACTCGTTGGATTCTGTTTCTTTATCAATAAGATCTTTCCATGTTGGTTTATTGTTATCGATATCGATACGTGTCGATGTTTGACCGTCATTTATAGCACCCACACGATTCAAAGACATCTATAAGAGATGATTATGTAAACTTTCAGTTCTGTGAAAAAAATACAATGAATGTCAGATCTGTAAAAAGTAAAAATGATTCCTTTTTTTTTCTTTCTTTCATCGGTTGACGCGAGTAACAACAACAACCTTGACGACCCAATCATTGGCATTTTTTCCGTCTAGACTTTTCTTTCACAACTTTGTAAGTTCCCTTGAGTCGTTTTATTTTTTCTTGTGTTTGATCGTGAAAGAATATCTTCATTATTCTCTGATCTTTGACTATAATATCATGACTCAAGAACACAGAATGGCTTATGTCGAGCTAAAAGAACTTGCTACCGTAGAAGAAGCGAAAGCAATGATTAACAAGCACAAGTTTTCTGTAATTTTATTCAATGAGAGGTAAAAGTTACATTTACAATTACAGAATATTTCATTTTAATTCTATAACAATATATATCCTGGCCCAGATACTGTAGAACATAAATTTAATTTGTGTCGGCATATTTACGAACATAAGTTTGATCTTCATTGTTACAAATGTGTCGACGAAGACGAATTCAAGACTGAGTTCCACATTAGAGAAACACCGGCATTTATTTTCTTTCGCGATGGCAAAGAAATTAATCGATTTGAAGATGCCGACCAACCAGAACCTAACTCACCAAAGGAAGAAAAAGATCCAAAAGAGTACCGAATCAGAACATATTTAGATAAATTATGCACTAAACAAAATTGACTTTTATGTCCTCTAAATAAACATCCTTAGTGTAAACTCACTTTTAGATCAAATTTGTCTATATTATATAGATACTAACCAACTATGAACATCTTATAATGATTTTTTTATCTGTATTTTGTTGCATCTGATATGTTTACGTTTTATAAATCATTTTCTCACATTGCTACGATCCTCTCAGATGATTGCAAGAAGTTAAGATCAGAAATTCACCTTAAACTTCCCACAGATAAACAAATATGAGGGTGAAGGTGAATTAACTGTATTTAGTACCTCGTCAGGATTTCAAGAAAGATAAATTTTTTACTGTAAGTACGTTTAAATGAGTTAAAATTCTGAATTTAGAGGTTTCGTGAGATGTTCTATCTTTCTGACATTCTTACAAAACTTTCGTGTGCAAAATGTCCATCAACAGTGCAAATTCAGTATCATGAAAGGTCTTAAGCTGACCATTGTATTCTAAAAGTACGAATCAAATCGATTAAACAACGTTGATCATGGCTCACATACAATACTTATTAAGAAGTAATGTATTACTATTTCAATCCTCGATCGTGGTGTTTCTTTTAGAACAATATCTATACAAAAAAAGTCTGAGACAATATCGAATAAATTAAAATTTGTTCATCACATTTTATTTTTTAAAACAAAATAAGATTTTACCCTTCGATCTCTTTAATTTTATTATTCACTCTTTCTTTACTCCTATGTATTTAGTTACTATTGAAAAAAGAAGATTAAAGTTACCTTCTGCAACACATTAAAAACAAAATTTCACATAGACCTTTTCACTTCATCTTTTCTTCCTGTAACACATTAAATATATATAAACAAAAAAAATAGAAAAAAAAACATTTTAAATCCTTGCTTTATAGAAGAAAAGAAAACATTGCTCAAACAGTCGCATTGTCAAGTGTAAGCAATATAAAAAGAACAGTTAAAAAAATATTGATACGGTTCTCATAGTGTTTCACGAAATGTTAGCTTCGACTTTGATTTAGAATCACGATAAAGGCATAGAAGGAGTGGGGATGGTGTGGGGTGTAGGTATGTAAGGTGTGTTGTTGGGTGTGGATGCTGCTTACAAACAGATACCCACACCCACACCCTGATAATATTTTAGAAAAAGGTCATGATAAATATCATGCAAGTCTTTGTTCTTATACTATTACGGATGAAAATAAAGATAGAATCTACGAGCCCAATTCAAGTTTTTTTATTACAGATATAAAATGGATGAATAATGGTGCAATGATTTTGCCCAGTGAATCCATATTATCATTTCGATCTACGAAACATATCTCTAATGATAGAAATGATGTTAGTGTATTGACAGATGCTTTTATTAATGAAATTTTGCTTAAATCTCATCGTTATAAATCATCTATTGAATCGTGTATTTAGTGACAGTAAAGTTTCGACCATATTGATCTGTCAATATCCAATTCAAATTACAGAAATTCAAATCCCATCTTTTCTAGGTCCAAACGAACGAGCCATCATAACTATTAGTTTTACTAATATATCTGCACGACTATACGGTACATGCTCCGATTCAGCTGGTTCTATAGAATTTATATTGTCTACACATTCTGTAATAAAAGTTATATCTATGAATGAAAAATATTCTTATCAAATAATGTTCGATGGTCTTGGTCTCTAAATTTTAATATCAAGTAGTCTATGATAATACCATCAATAGAGATTCCATGCATTTTATGACTGTTGTTTATAGAAATAGATATGTATACAAATCTACATTAGATTCCTAAGTTGGTAACCGATTAATTATGGTTACTAGTGATAATCTTCTATTAGTCAATCCCCAATTACCATTCACATTGAAAACTCAATTGAATAAAAATCAACAAAATGAAGTGGACTTGTCGCATGAACAAAAAATTGATAACAAATCAGAATTTTCAGATGTTATTCAAATTGAAATTAATTTAAATTCAAACTTTGGTAGATTATTGTGTGGTTCAGTATTTTATCAAGGATTTGAAAAAGCTCATGTAATAATTATTAGTGAAAAACACGAATTGGTAAATAGCATATTTACGATAGATTCAAATAAATTTAATTTTGATCAAATTTTAGCTAGTCTTATCATATCAATTATTGAGCATGAATTCGATCGAGGAGCTATACAGTTTCCATCATCAAAGCAATTAGTAAAGCAAATAACTAATGTCATTGAAAAAGAAAAAATATAACAAATGATTGGTTATATTTACTAATTTAATCATTGTCTGAATATATTGATAGTAAATTTTTGAGTTCTTTTCCTTGATGTAATTGTACTGACAAAGCAAAACAACGACATCAATTAATGAAAATTTTAAATGATTTATATTCATTATCAACGAATGAAATTCTGAGAAACAAAGAAATTAATCAAGAAGTACGAATTTGAAAATCACAAAAATTAGCAAATTTAAAATTCCCCAGCAGCTGATAGAAGAGAAAATTGTGTTCGATCAATCATAGAAATTCAAGCATGAAAAGAAGAACAAAAATTTAACAAAATACAATCATCAATAGAACAATTATCATTATCAGTTGCAGTTCAGAGATTTTAAAAAATTCAATAATTTAATCTCACTGGGAAGAGAGGGGCTGAATCACTAGAACTACAACTGCAAATATAGAAAAACACTAGAAATATGTTTTGTTTTTATTTGATTTTTAAATAATTGTAATAAGATTATTGGTTAACAACTGTTACTACTTCTTGTAATTATTAAGCTTGAAAAATGAAGCAGTTTGGTACAAAATTGATATAATTAGTTGTTTTTAATTCACGTTAAAAGATCACATTACGTTTCATAAATAAATTTTGGAATGTATAAAGTTTGGTTGTAGAAATTTTTTGTCACATTGAATACTTATAAACATGATCAGTTTCGATCTTTAATGACCAATGAAGAGACAAACCCATAGGGTTCAATATCGATTACCAATACGCATTATGCTCGGATGCTTTCTACATTGATCATTGCTAGTCACAACACATGCTGTAATATTCCTGTTTCAGGCTACTTATGGTAGAACAAACTCAAATTGAATATTACCATAACTTTTCTGAGATATGAAAATAGTGTTCGAGCATATTCTTCCCAAATTGATTGAAGCGACTTTCGTCATTATTTCCACGAGAAAGAGGAGTTTTGCTATAAAGCCACCTCAGTATCATGATTATTGGCATTGTTACTCAGAATTTTTGTCAATAACGTTCTTATTGCTCGCCAATTAGTGAAATATCCATAAATATTTGACAATAATTGATAGAAATAATATTAGTAAAATCTTGGAGCAACCAACCTCAGCGAAATCATAGAAAAGGAAATGCATTGATTTTTACTTGCAGCGAAGCTTGAGGTTCTATATTGAACTTGTAGGCAATACGATAGCATGATTTTCGTAAAAAGATAGAACGAAAATGAAAACTCATCGTATATATATTGTCCGATGGGAAGTTCTGCTGCGAGAAAGGGAGCCCTGATTGTATATGGTAACTCAGGGGCATAAAGGTTCCATTACCTTCGATAGTGACGAAACATTTGAATTATTGAGATTCGGTGTGAGAATTTACCAAAAGTGTCAAATTTTCTAAAAAAGAGCTTTAATTACTTGCCGTAACCGACTACAGAAATATATGAGCAGAAATCTAAGATAAAAAACTTAAGGACAACATCGTCTATGCATCTGAGATTTCCATCAAGCAAAATAAAACTCATACCGTATTAAATCCACATAGATATAGACGGGCTAGTAATTATTTTTATTAAATATTTTCTGTAGATCTCAACAGGATGTGGATATAACGTTTAGGTGGAAGTGTGGAATAATACTAACACCTATTTTCATACACCTACATCCTTCAGGATACATTTGTGACCAGATAGCTATGCACAATTTTTTATTGTATGATCATCGCTTTATACTTCAGCGTGTAATCTTGTCATTTTTATGAGATGAATACTACGTGCTCGTATTGAAACAACAACGTCTTCGATAGCGGGATTGTCATCAGTAATCAAAGTCTGTTCTTCGAGAATGTCTCCACGCATTTGCATCGTATGGATTGCAAATACACCTTTATATTTGAACGACGACACCAGTACATCATTAATCCATTGTTCCGCTATCGTTACACCACCACCCTCGTCAATATACAATTCCTCAGCGCCACGTCCTCGACAGAAACGATAGTCCTTGATTGTTTGCACAACTCCATTCTTGGTAAACGTGCTTCGCCATTTTGTGCAACTCTCAGCAACTATCGGATAAGGTCCAATCTCCAGTGTCACATTCCAGCCAGAACCTGTTTCACCTTCTGGATATGCTTCGACCACACCGTACCAAGTACCAGTCCAATTAGTTTGAGCTATACTTGATGCGCTCATGGGCCAGCCTGAAGAACAAACAAATTGTGCAGTTTTGAGTCTGAATCCTTTAAGTTTTCGTTAATATTACGACGGTTCAATCAGTGAAATTTACTACATAGCCTGTTCCTCAAAATACTTTTAAAATTTGATATGAATTGTGAACACAATATCAATTAGACTGGATTAGTGACAGGGGACGATTCTATATAATTTTTTTCAACTCTGACAGGACTCATCTTACCTCGTAATATATGTCTTCTTCTGGTACTTCGAATTTATTACGTGTCATAGACAAACAGGCGACATTTTAACGTATGAAAATTTTTATTAAACTTTCTGTTTTGGACTCCAGGATTCGATATCCAGTTGTAATGTCTTAAATCTGTCTAAAAGTTAAAAGTAAAATAGTCGAAAAATCGAAAATTGTCAAAAAGATCAGAAGTGGAGGACATTTCGAACATCCGCTTTCTTATCGGCAATAGGGATCGAATCGGTTACTCTGTATATCTTTTTTTCTTCCACGCTTTTATAACATTAGTATTTCTAAGAAAAGAGAAAATTTTTCAAAAAATGAACAATCTCATACGGGCCTTTTCAATTTACAATCTAATGTCTAGTAACAACCCACATAAACGAAAGTTCTTCTCTTCCTAGGAGCTGTTACTTTCTCTCTCAATAATTTTTTTTGTGCCAACTTGTATTTGGTCGCGTTATACTCAGATTCTATTTTTGTGATCATGGACTAATAGCGATTTGGTTAAGTAACACGTCTTCTTCTTATCTGTGACAAAATAAGTTTTGAAACTTTTAAGACTCTTCAAATTGATTGGCATATACCGTTCAATGATATTTGTATATATTCTTCAAGATGTCATTTTATTGAAAAGATTTCCCGTTACAATGGAAAGATTTTGAATATATAGTTCAAAAAGCTAGAAAGACTCGGATGTAGTTATCAAAATAAAAATATCTATTCATGGCTTATTTTCAGAAGTTTAGATAGTAAAATATTTCGAAATACGATGCAGACAACAGTTTCAGAAAGTATGTTTCACACAGACAGACACAAATGAATTAATTACCGTTTGCAAGCTCTAGCTATTCAATCTTGGAAATACATAAATAGATTTTCTGTTGGATAATGGCTTCGTGTCGATTTGGTTGATATCTAGTCGGAATTACAGGCGATAGTAATATTTCAATCTGATTTTTATTTGATTTCATCTGGTGACCAGTTCTCTGTTACATATAGAGAATCAAGGATCTGATAGATTTTGAAAATATGTATTCAATAATATGCTATCGAAAAATTATTTATCCCGATCTATGATGAGAGTGAGATCAAAGCATCAAGATGTGCGTTCTCTTGACGGAAAGAAAACGAGATATTTGGTTGATACTTCCTCAAAAGTCTATAAACCTCAGTAATCAGTCATAGAAGAGTTCTGAAAATGCTTCTTATCCAATTTTTTTCTATCGATACTACAATAATTAAGTAAGAAAGTGTCGTCTGAGACGTAGAAAAGTCGTCAATATATATCATGTATATTAGCCTGAGCATTTTATGCATTACGAATTCTTACTGTATACATACCATTTTTCGTACATTTGACAACAGCAACACCGATTACAGAAAACAGAAACAGAAAGAAGAGACTACGTAATTCGAATTCATCCATTGACACGAAAAGGAATAGACAGGTAGTTTGAGTAACAGAAGAGTCTGTATGATGAAAATTTTATGAGAAGAGAATGTCACAATTGCATTAGTTTTTATACGGGATTAGCAGTTCGATAATATTCTTTGGTTTTTTTCTTTTAGTCAATTTAAGCTCGAAGAGAATACCCATTTCATTATAACAATGATAATTGAAACAAGGATTTAACAAGTAAATATTTACCGCCTAAAAGGACGAAGAGATTGCAGTGTCAAAATACTACAGTGCTACAGCGTTGCAAGATTTGATAATCATCTAAAATTTATTACGTTGAAGATTTTTGTATAAGATCCGAATACAGATTAAATAGTGTATTTTGATTTTGAAGTAAATTGGTATTGGCGAATATGAATTGATTAATATTTATGAGATTCAATTGTGAAACTCAATGATGTTGTTTGTATTGCTCAATAATCAGCTTTTTCGATTTTTACTCAATATGAAATAAAACTGGATGTTGATCTGGCGACATCTTTAGCGTGTAATGTTTGTCATGAAAATATTGCCCATAATTACAATGTGTTATTTAATATGATTTTATCATAGATTTATTCCTCGAATTATCGACATGAATGAAATATCTCCTAGGTAATTAACTATGAAAATGATTGTTCACTTTATTCACGATATATATATTTCTTTCTTTCCGACCTCCTCATTATTTATATAGTTGACTCATGCATCGATTTGTTGGAAAAAAGAAACGTTAAAATTGACTGTGATCTTAATAGTACAAGGAAGAAGTTTTTGTGTTTTTTTTTCTACTTATTTTATACAACACAACACCGTATACTTTATTACATACCTAAAAAAACCTGTAAGACGACGATACGATGAGTTTAGAATTGTTACCCAATGAAATCCTATTGGATATATTCAATTATTTCAATGGTGTTGAACTTCTTCGTATATTTTATGGTCTCAACACACGATTGAATTTCCTTCTTCACGATCGATTTTTAAATTGTTCTTTCAAATTTAATTCTGTATCAAAACATGATTTTGATATAATCTGTCAACAGTATCTACCAACAATGGCAGATTATATAATTACTCTTGATCTTACTGACAATGATGACACTCCAACAGAAATTGAACTATTTCTTTCTTATAGTCCATCATTCAAACAATTTATACAGTTACGATCTCTGTCACTATTTAATCTTCGTTCATATCCAACATTGATGAAAATTCTTGAAGAATGTTATCATCTTTGTAATCTGACTCATTTAGGACTCTTCCATTGTTATCAAGATGGTCAAATTGATTTTCAATTAATTGTTAATCATATTTGGAGTCTACCAAACCTTACTCATTGTACGATTGGTATTGGAGTTACAGGATTATGCTTCTTTCGTACACCGACAAAAACTTCCTTATCACTCGAATATGTATCTATAGAAAGAATTCAAGTTAAATTGGATCAAATAAATCGATTGTTTGAATATACACCTGCTTTGAAATGCCTTTCGATATCTGTAGTGTCCTTTGTCGATAGTGATTATATTCCCTCTCCTCTTCCAACCTTAATTGATTTGAGTATAAGTTCTTGTTTTAC